TGAAGTCTGGGGTGCTCACAGCAGTGGTGCAGGACTGGTAGATATGAGCTTGGCAGACTCCAAGTTCCTTGAGAAAAGTACTGTGGCTCTCATTTCTAGAACCTGTAAAACAGAGATACATCCAAGGCAGGGCTGCTCCACTCTGCCTGCCTGGGACAGGAATCTGTCTGCCTGCAGCTCCCACCCTTCAGCTTCCACCCTTCAGCCTCAGCCTAGGTATCAGGCAGGGCTCACCTCCCTCCCCTTCCTGCCCTCCTGTGGTTGCCTCTCCAACACTAGCTCCAGTCCTGGCAGCAGCTCCATCTGCAGGTTTGAGAGCAAATCTGCAGGGACAGAGGCCAGGCTCAAATGACAGAGGAATTGTGGACAGCTCCAGGTGGAAGATGCCGCTGAAGCCCAGACTGCTGAAGCCCAGACTGCAAGGACACAGTGTTCCTGGCTAGACTAAATCGGGCAGGGAGTTGTGATACCAAAGCATGGAGATATGCGGCAGAGGGTCCGAGAACAGCAGGGTTCCAGAAACCAGAGAGCTCTCCTGGGGTTACTCTGCCTGACTGGCACTACTTGATCAACTCCAGGGGAGCCAGGGAAGGGCCAGCTGTTGTCTACTTCTCAAGGACACTGCCTGCTTTCAGGGCACTTGCTCCCAGTCCTACATTGCTACCCCCCTCCGTACTTCTAGGTGTGTTCCTGGCCCTTGAGGCCCTGACTGAAAACTGTACCTTCACCCAGAATGGTCCTCAAGACCAGCTCCATCTCTCATTTCACACAGGGGAAACTGAGTCCTCCATTAGCAGTGGCAGCTCCAGGTTGCCTTTCAGTGTGCTTGGCCTCAGAAAAGCAGAGACTGGGTGGAAAAGAGGTCAGGAAGGGAGTGAGGACCAGCAGGGTCAATGTCATCAATGTGCAACTGTTGATCCTGGGCCCCTCCACCAGTGTTGCATGCATGTGTCACTTGGGTAGGTGGGAGCTATGTGCTCCTGCCGTCTAGAAGGGCTGGCTCCCAGGTTAGTGGAAGCCCTTCTGCACAGGGAGTGAGCAGCAGAAAACTACCACTGAGTATAGTTCATAACACTTTTCACCCCTTTCTCTGCCTGGGAGAGGCTGCTCTTCTGTGAGGGGTACTTCTGGTCCCAGTGGGGCTACTCTTATGTGGACATATATGTGGGCTTTTCCCCATGCCTGTGCTCTTTGCAGGGGGTGTGAGGAAGGGGCGCTCTCAGCACCTCACCTTACCCTCTCCTCAAATGCCTGGATAGTCTGAATTCTAAACTTAGAAATGGCTGTGGTTCTAGCCACCATGGCATCCATCACCCCCTCCCCCCGTGGTGCCAGCAAGACAGTCCAAATAAATGCCTTTTCCCAAGAGCAGCTTTGTCCTGGGGATGACAGGCCTGGCACAGGAGATTGAAGGGGGTGTCCTGGAGGGTGGGCTAGCAGGGGACTGGGGGAACTCCCACAGGAGGGTGCTGATTTCTGTGGGATGGAGTGCCCAGGCCTGGAGGTGCATTGGCCAACAAACTTGAGAAGGTTGGGTTGGTGAAGCCCTCAACACACCTCTCAGAGATGCTTCCTCAGCTGCAGGCCCTGTTAGCAAGTGACATGCAGGGGGTAAGGCACAAGCCGGAAACTGCAATCACCACTTTCTTCACTTTGTCCCAAACACTAAGTCTTCTTTCCAAGATTGGGGGGGGGGGAGTTACTGAGTGGGAGTGGCAGCATCAGCATCAGCAACAACAAAACATACGTGGTCTTCATGGTCCGGGCACCTGTCTCCGTGCACCCCCTGCTGGTCGCACCCTTACTGCTTTAGTATCTGGCTCAAGCTGGGATTTGAAAGGGTATTAAGGGTCTGTCTTGAGTATAGGCCCCATGTATGTACATCTTTCCCGAGGACCACTTATTTCATCACTTGAGTTGAAAAGCCTCCCTACCTAGAAAGTCAGAAAGGAAACCTTTAACAGCTATCCCAATCATACCCCAGGGGTATGTGACCTTTCTTGGGTGACTTGGGCTTATGTGGGACACTGGGGATGGAAAGGGCCTCTGCATTTAAAGTGGGCAAACATCAATGTCACCACACTGCTACTGGGTTTTGTCAGCTTCCCTCTTCTTCCTCTCCTTCCAACAGTGTCCAGTTGGGTGGGGGCCTGCACTTAGAGCCCTAGGGCCCCACTACCAGGAACCTGTTAGGCTGAAGTGCTGTCCAGACCCCAGGTAGCACAGTGACCTCTGCCCATCCCTCAGTCACACGAGCACCTTTCGACAGGTAATGGCACCTGTCTCAGGAGCTACAGCCCAGTGATGCAGGACAACATGCTATCAGCTGGGTTATTCACAAGACACCCTGAAGCATTTAATATGAGCCTTCTGGGCCCCCAGGAGCCTTTGTTGTCCAGTGTTTTGAAGAAACCTCAGCAAATCAACACTGTGGCAATGAGGGGTGGGGGAGGTGTGTTCCTCCCCCACAAACCTAGGATACATAGGAGAAGGGGAGAGTTAAGCTGACTTCCAGTCATGCTTTTCTCTAGGCCTAGGCCACTACCCAGTTTCTCCCTGGGGGCCCACATCAGTATACTGGAGGGAACATAGTATACAGGCCAGTGATTCTACACTCTTTAAGTCTCTCCAAAGGTCCTGTCTTAGTGTTGTTTTGCTGGGAAGAGACACCATGACCAAGACAACTCTTATAAGAGGAAGAATTTATTCAGGGCTGGCTTACAGTTTCAAAGGGTTAGTATATTATCATCAAGGCAGTGAGCCTGATAGCATGCAGGCAGACATGGTGTTGGAGAAGCAGCTGAGAGTTCTACATCAGGATCTGCAGGCAGCAAAAGAGAGAGCCTCTGGGCCTGGCTTGGGCTTTTGAAACCTCAAAGCCCATTCCCAGTGACACACTTCCTCCAACAAGGCCACACCCCCTAATCCCTCTCAAGTAGTCCCCCTCCCTGATGACTAAACATTCAAATATATGAGCCTCTGGAGGACATTCTTATTCAACCCACCACAGGCCCCTTGTCTGTCTGAGGAGTGCAGGCTGAAACAGATGCTTTGGAGCAAGGGTGAAGCTGGCTCTGCAGAGGTCTGGATGCATCAGCCTATGGTCCACCCAGCCGTGTCCTACCTCCCTTGATTATAACTCACTTCATCTGCCCAGTAGCCAACTGACCTTCTTGTGGGTTTTACCACCAGGAGGACCCAGATCATCATACAGAGACACCCTAGCTGGGTCTATGTCACCATCTGCCTAGAGCCCAGCAGGGAAGTGACCTTGCTGGACTAGCAAGCTGGGTGACATTTATGAGGGCTTTACATAATGAATATCTGGCCATATTCTACCCTGGAAGACCCAAGTCCCAGAGTGCTGGCTGCCTTCACTTTGTAGCCTAAGAGGCAGGAGAGCCACTGTGATGCCCTATAGGGTCCTGCTGGGCCAGTTCCCTGCATGGAGCTACCATGTCCCTCTTTTCCTCCTCCCCCAAGGAAAGCCCAGAACCACCCAGAGTTTTCAGAACTCAGTGTCTCCTAGCATTCCTGGTTCCATTTCACAGCACTCACTCAAACCAGAAACCATGTGTCTCTTCCTGAAGTGGGAACCCACCTGCGTCATCTGGCTGCCTGAGCCTTCAGTGCAAAGGGAACCCCCCTGGCTCTTGCTCCACATCTCATCCTAGTGTCTGTACCTGTTCTTAGTCCAAGGCTTTGCCTTCCTACCAAGGTGACCTGAGTCCATGAGCTTATGTCAGCATCCCTTTCTCTCCTCACCATCTTGTAGCCCTGGCTGGGTCAGCCAATGTTTTCTGGTGCCTGAGCAGAGAAAGGATGAAAAAAGGGGCAAGGATGTTCCTCTTACAAGTGTCACCTTTCTCCAGCTGATCCCCAGCCCGTACCCGTGGCTCTACCCAGGACCCCAGCTGGAAGCAGAGGCAAGAGGTCTCACTATGTGGCAGCCACCTGCGCACTCTTTGAGGCTCCCCAGGAGAGGTGCAGTGATCTGCATCAACTATCTCCAGATGTCCTGGAGCAATGTCAGCATCCCTAGCACCCATCTCTCACTACTACACATCCCTTCAGGACTCTCTGTTTTCCCTTTCCTCCCTCCTGTCCTCCTGTCACCGAAGGAACATTTGCTAAGGGACTCCAAGGAAGAGCTGAGCTTTTGAAGACAGGTTCTAGATGGGGGTCTCCAAACCAAGAATGCAGGTAGCTAGCACATCCGACTGTGGGAGCAGAACCCGAGGCTCATGTGGCTCAAAGGACTGCAGTTCTACTGTCGGCTGATCAGTGGGGCCAGCCATTTTAGGAAGAAGGGTGGCAGCCCAGCTGAGCCAGGGGAGGGCGGGCGCTGCCTGGCTCTGGTGATAACTGTGCACTTGAGAAGAACACCTGCTAGAAAGAACAATCCGGAGCGGCACCTGGGCACCCTATAGTCCTGCTGAGTCTGGCCAGGGTCCCACAGGAGTCACCTACATAGTGGGCCAGCCTTCATCAATCAAGTAGGCTGTGAGCTTCTGGCGGGCGGGGTTGGACTCCAAGAAGCTCTGGTAGTCACTCCAAAGTGCTGTAGGAATAGTCACTTTGAGTGGGAAGGAACCAAGGCTTGGCGAAAGCACAAGTGGAGTCTGGACACCTGGCAGGCCATGCCCCAGAAATCCGCTAGCAACCTGATGATTGGAACAAAGTTGCTACTTTACGGCAGAGCCCAGAAACAAGGCTGCAGACCCGTCACGTGGGCTGTAGTCTGGTCACATGGCCAGAAGGCAGCACGTGAGGCAGTGAGAGAAGCACGAGGAGGGGCGGGGCAAGCCCCGCACGAGGTGGGCAGGCGTGAGGGGTGGGGGTGGAGAGACGCTTTCGCTTTCGTAAGCGTGGGCAGCCAGGTGCGGGTTGATGCAGAGCTTCTGGAGCTAGAGTGTGGGTGAGAGGGTGGGCTGGCGGGCAGAGCCAGGGGCTGTCTGTGGCTTCCGGTTTGTTGCTTCCTCCCCTCCATCTTCGTGCCAATGGCGTCCGGCGGCCACAAGCGGGCCACTGAGGATTGTGCAGTCTCCAGCTTTACGGAATGCAGGTAAAATATGGGTTGACAGTCTCTGAGAGAGTCAGGTTCCGAGGCCTTTGCGAAAGGCTGCCTACTGTTGTCACCCTACCTGGCACATCAGGACAGAGCTCCCTATCTTGGAGTGGAGCGGGCGGAGGAGGTGTAATGATATGGCCAGGTAGTTTTCCTCTTCTTCCTTCCAGACACCCACCCCAAATGCCACTGGTGGCTTTTGTGAGGTTCACAGGTGGTCTTGGCTCTTTTCTCTGTAGCAAGACTCCTCGGCCTGAGACTCGGGACAACTTGCAGAGTCTGTCACAGGGCTCAGGCCTCCACACGGCTCCTGTAGCTGCTGCAAATTGGGGGCCCTGCCTTCGGAGAAACGTGATCAGTGAGAGAGAACGCAGGTGCGGACAGCCTCAGGGTGGGCACTATGTCAAAGTGGGTAGAGGAGTTTAAGTCTGGATTAATCAGTTTTACCCATCTGGACCTACCAGGATTAAAAACCAGATCCCCAAGTAAACTCCGCCTTGTGTGGGAGGCCAGGGGTGCCGCTGCAGCTGCTATGTCTGGGAGCTCTGGTGTTTTCAGCTTCCTTTAGAGTCTGGACTCCTAACTTGGACTCACCCTTTCACACACTAGAGCTACTTCAGGACTGTGCCCTCAGCCCAGAGTTACTGTGAGGCTCGTGGGACCATGCGCTGCAGGGCTAACTCCGCTGCTCAGAAGGCCCTGGAGGCTATGCGGCGGTGGGTTCCAGAGGCCCCTTTCCCATCGGATGAAGGCTGGACCCTTTTTGCTTGTCTGGATGCAGGAGGCGGATCTCCTTGAGCTGTGAGCGCTTGCGGGCTCTACTGCCCCAGTTTGATGGCCGGCGGGAGGATATGGCGTCCGTCCTGGAGATGGCTGTGTACTTCCTCCAGCTTGCCCACAGTATGGATCCTGGCTGGGAGCAGCTCTCTGTGAGTTGTAAGCAGGCAGGCCTTGTGAGGCCCCTGCAATGTGTCTACTATGTGATATCCTTGTTGAGGGGCAGCATGCCCCTTGTTCCGGGCCCCAACCTTCAGCCCAAGGTGGCACATGTTCCATACCTTCCTGATAGAGAGGGGCAAGTGTCCACTGTCTCTTCCCAGTACTACTGACTGCTTAGTTGCCCATATGTGATGTCAGGGTCTCCATATGCCACATTCTGGCCAAGAGCACTTACACTTAGGCATCTCCTACGGTTTGGTCCCAAGACTACTGCTCGATTCTCAGTCACATGTGCATTTGTCGGGCCTGTGCTTGAGGAGAGCTCTGTTCTGATGACTTGAGACCCTATGGCCAAGCCCCTGGGTAGACACAGCTTGTCTCAAGGGCTGTTTGAGGAGTGAGGAGTGAGGCTTTAGTCCCTGCACACCTTTTCTGTGTGTGGAGGCTGGGCTGATGGTGGCACTCCCTCCCCCTACTCTGAGTTTCTGGGTGGTCTGTGTGTGTTTAAACCTCAGGCTCCTCAGCCAACCCGGATGTGGCACATGTGGCAGGGTGATGTTCTGCAGGTGACCCTGGCCAATCAGATTGCAGACGGCAAGCTGGACTCCGGGAGAGCAGAGGCATCTGCTGTGGCTGGGTTAGTGTCCCCGTGGCCTGTCCTGGGGCCCCAGGCTCTGTCTGAACAGTGGTGCTAAGCTGCATTATCATCATCATCATCTGCATTAGTACTTAGCCCCTCATCTTTGACATCACTGTTCCTGTTCAAAGCTTCTTTAAGATGGTCCCTTGAGAGCCTGCTGTGGAAGTACACTGCACTCGGTGACCTCAGCAGCAGACTCGGGGACTGGGAAGAATGGAGGTTTACTTGGCTCTTCTGCTCTGTGGGGTCTGAACTCCTTAGTGTCTTATACTTTTTCAGGGTGCAGGAGCCCCCATGCTGTGCGATGCTGAGTGTAGACCAGAACCAAGCCATGGAGAGAGTGTCAGAGCTGCAGGAGAGACCATCCTCCTGCCCTGGTAAGCTCCAGAGCACACTGCCATTCAGTGAGCCAGGTGTCCTGTGACCTGGAAGTCCTGCTGCCCTTCTCATGCCCAGGGTCTAGAACAGCTGGCTGTCTCACCTCTGCTGAAACAGGGTGACTCCGAGGCCTGCAGCCTTTCCAGCTATACCTCCAGGGTGTGGGGTCTTGTCCCATAATCCACCCCACCCTGTGCCAAGTCCTGGTCAGTAGGTGCCAGTAAGTCACCAGGTGAGGTGCCTCTCATGCCAGTGGGCACTTTGCTTTCTTGACTGTTTTGTCTCCCATCATGTACATTTGCCATGTCTAGAGGTCTCAGCTGGCTGGACAGGGCTTCTAAGCAGCCACATATATAGCTCCATGGGGACAGGCAGCCTGTCTGAGGGAGGAGCTCAAGGTCAGGAGGAACTCCTGGTGTGAGCCCACTCGAGTGACCCAGGGCCTAGGGACTGCCCGTCTCCAGGAACCTGACCTCACTCAGGTTTGGACACTCCCCTGCTTGCTCACCTGTTGCTAAGGACTTCTGGCTTTCATATGTGCACAGTGTAGGACAGAACCTGGCCTACCCCAGGTGGGCTAACTTTCTTCTCCCTGATAGAGCCTTCCAGCATGTGTCCTGGGCTTCCACTCTGGCTTCCTCACCCATGGCAGTCAGCCACCCCCCAGAGCAGCGACACTGTATCTGGTGGGTTGCACCAGGTGGGATCCCTGGCTAGGGACACTGAATCTCCAGGTGTGCTGGCTGAGGAGGCCAGCTTGGTCTTGACATCTGTGCCTGATGCCAGGTGGGTGCTTCTGAGTATGTGTGTCAGTGGTAGCCGTTACCCATCTGCTTTCAGCCCAGCGCTGGTCTGTGCCTTTCTCTACTTCTGGAAGCTTCTGTTCCTGACTTTTACACCACATTGAGAGGAGGCCCAGGCAATAGGCCCAAGCCAGACTCACCATGTGGCTCTCTGATAAGTGTTTCTAAAACATTTTTGTCTCCTAATTGTCTTTTGTTTGGGCTGATGGTGAAATAATTTTGTGTTTGGGGAACACACACCAGCTGGGGTGTGGGAGGCAAAGGGAGGGATGAGGCTGTGGCTGGAGAAGCCAGCATGGATCTCTGTTCATCAGAGCTCTATGGCTATGGCCTGTGCCCTGTGGCTGTGGTTTCTAGACTTGGTCCTGTCGGGGTGAGCCTCCATGGAATTGAGGGTTCCTTGTAGGATTGGGTTTCTGTTGAGTTTCTAGTATCTAGTTTCTTGTGGTCACTAGGGGATCTTCTCATCTCCAGGTATGACACAGGGACAGGGTCTGACGTGGTGGATGGAACATCCTTTCTGCTGACCACCAATCCTGATTGGTGGTTGGGTGAGTGGGGCTGTGAGCCCAGGCTGTCTTTTCCCACACTGGCCCTGGCTCTGGGGCCTGTGTCCAATCTAACAGGACCAGGAAAACTACCTAGACCCAGCTTGCTCTCTGACCCAAGGTCCCCAGGTCATCTCTTCTCCTGTCTGGCAATGATCAGAATGACTGGCAGGGACAGAGGTAAAGTTTGACCACGCATGACTGCATGAGCACATAATGTATGGAAATGGCTCTGTGAGTCCTGGGTGTTTTTGGTAATGTTCCCAGGTCAGCCCCACTGGGGCACCAGGACATCTGGTGAACAAGTCATATGTTGTGTCTCCACAGCCTTTAGGATCCAGGGTTGAGGGAACACTGCTGTGGTTCTGGCATGAAGTGGATCTCCTAAGCATGAGAGCAGGGCCACCAGGGTTGGGTTCATCCTACCTTACTGCTGGCAGAGAAATGGGGTTCACATTCCCTGTGGTAGAAGCATGGGAGACCCCACCACCATGCTGTGACCAGCCTGCTGCCAGCGCCTGGGATACATGCCTGCCTTACTGGTGTTCCCTTTTCTTCCAGGGTCAGTGGAGGGCAGAGGAGGCCCAGCTCTTGCCAGGAGCAGCCCAATGGACGAGGCAGAGCCAAGCTTCATGGGGGATCCTGAGCCCTGCTCCCAAGAGCTCCAGGCTGGTCCCCTAGAGCTGTGGGGCTTAGATTTTGGCAGCCCTGGCCTGGCCCTGAAGGATGAAGCAGACAGCATCTTCCCTGACTTTTTCCCCTGCTAGTTTAGTTATGTCAGTTTGGTGGGGAAGCAGGACAGCATGGAGCACGGGGATAGCTTGTGCCCCTGCCCCTTGCCTGGGTGTTGTATTTTGGGTTTGGTTTGCAGCTGCAGCCTAATTTGAGGGAGGCTGGCAGGGCTGTGAGTGGAGTTTGTATTAAAGAGGAAAGGTTTTTCTGGCAGAAGCACATTTCTCTGGCTTTTGAGTAATTAATCCAATTCATTGGGCACATCACCCTAACACCATTCAGAGCACAGACAGCTGCTGGGATCTTTTCTGAGAGGTTCTCAGCTTGGTGGGATCCCTGAATAACCTAGTTCTATGCCTTGCTCCCAGAGAGGTGCTAGAGACTAGGTGCCTTCCTTTTCCTTGTTCCTGGGATCAGGTGTTTGGATTGGGTGGGACCTTTCTGGGAGAACCCAGTATCCTCTCCCTCTTGGAGGGATGGTCTGGTTCCCTTTTTACTTGCTCTTTGGGACCCTCAGGGTCTGGTGCACACTCTTAAACACTGGGCCGCTGTGGGCAGACTGAAGATTAGTATTAATCTTTCAACTGTTCTAGCCAGGCTGAGTGCTTGTCCTGCTGTCAGCATCTGGAGATGGCCCAGGTTCCTGGGATTCCCTCCCCCACATCAGTCCCTGTTCTGGGGCTAGAGCAGCCTAGCCAGATTCTTCCAAGAACCTTGAGATGAGAGCACCCACCAGGCTGCTCCCACAGTAGTGGAATGTTCCGTTCACTCCCATGAGTCACTGCAGACAAAAGCTCAGGAGCAGGTGGCGTGGGATGAAGCACTTGGGGGCTGTGAGTGCTGAGATCATCACACATCGCAGGAGCTGAGAGGGTCACATGGTCCCAGAGGGCCTGAGCACTGTACCACTGTGGTCCATGTGGGTGATGAGCAGAGCTGTCCACCACCCCAGGACCTTGACACCATGGTTTACAGGACTGAAGACCTTGGTCAGAGGAGGGGCTGACTTCCAGGTTCCTGGCTACCAGTGTGCTAAACCCATATTATTTGAGCACGGGAATAGTCACCTCACTTTGGTTGTCTGATGTTTGAGCTTATCAGTCAACTCCAACTGCCTGAATTCACATGTTTTCTAGAAGATTCCCACGTCTGTATGTGTGCATCTCTATGTTGGAGTGCTTGTGTGCATACTATTTATGCTAAGGTAGGCAGGCGTGTGTTTATACACCCATATAGTTGTGTATGCATTTGTGAGTCCATGAATGTTAGTGTGTGTATGCATATATGTTAGGGTATGCATGTATACTTATGCCCATGTATTGGTGCATGCATGTTGCAGGCCTTAGGAGGGTGGGTATGGAAGGCACAACATCCATACTTACACTGCTGTGTGACTGCTCCCCTGTCCTTGGACATGTCTCCCTGGTCACAAGCATGTGGCCTTAGACTGAGCCAGGGGCCCAGCTTGCTCTTTGTGGTCTTGTCAGGCAGGTCATGGAAGAATTAGAAGCTGTCTTGGTCTTTCTCCTCCCAGCAGGTAGGCTGAGCGTATTCAGTCATCTCTGCAGCTGCCATCCCTAGGACCTCTTAAATCCTGGGTGTCTCTTTGGTCAGGTGTGTGACCTTACCTGTGGCACCTGAGAGGGAGAGGCAGGGAACTTAACTTGGCTCATTCAAAATGAGGCTTAAGTCCTAGTGACATGGAAGAAATGTCCAGAGACATCAGGGGGTAGAGCCTATGCCGGGAGGCAGGTGGCTTGTTCCTGAATCAGTGCTAAGAATGAACCTGGCCTGTGGACAGGAGCAGTAACAGGTCATGGACTGATCAGGTCATAGGAACCCCCAGGGTCCTGAGACTGAGGTCAGTCTTTTCCCAGGAGTACTTCAGTCCAGGAGAAAAGGACTTCAGGCCCTACTCCACATAGAAGCAAAGGAAAAGGGCTGCCTGGCCAGGGCTTGGCCATGGTGTCTGCTCCTGTTAGGCTCTGTGGGTGCAGGTGTGGTTCCTTGGTCTGGCTAGCTGAGATTGCAGTGGGTCCCTGTCCAGCTGAGTTTTGGAGGCTGTAAACAGCTGCTCCAGATACTGGTGGTTATGGGCCTCAGCCCATGTGGACTGCTCCGATGCTGCTCCATGATCCATTTCCCCCTGCAGAACCCTAGAATTTCCCACTCGGCTCCTCCTGGGACACACTGTTTGAGAATCAGCCCCTCCTCTGTGTTGACCACCCTGAAGCCATAACTGCCTGGGGAAAAAAGGGCTCACCTGCCTAAAAGCTGGATTCTGGAATGTTACAGCTGTACTTTCTCCCTACCAGTATTATCTCCCAATACCCTGAAGCTACAGTACCCCAAAGCCTGGGGGCATGCAGTCTAATGGCATGAAGGGCACACAGCAGTGCTGCCTGCTCTGTGGTATTTCCTCAGAGTGGTGTGTCAGGGTGGGAATCCTGGTGGGGTGGGCAGGAGGCCAGCACTGGAATCCCACTTTGCAGGGGAGCCAGGTGTTAATCAGCAGGCACTGTTCATGATCACCCATCAGGCCTTGCATGAGGCTTTCTCTGGAACATTTCAGATTGCTGGATTCTTTTGGAACCCCCAGTGCTCAGGCTATGATTTGAGCAGCAATGCCTAAGTGTGTCCTCTTTTGAGAACTTAATGCCCAGAGATTATGACAGAGGACTGGGGAGGGGTTTTAACCTCTTTGTCCATGGGACCTCAAAAAAAGGTTTTGAAGAAAGCCTATAAGCGTTGTTTCAGGTGAGGGGAACTGGGATATGTGACAGCACTCTGGGTATCAGAGGCTCTTCTGCAGGGTCTTTGCAGTTGTGGCCTTCAGGGATGGTTGTGGGAAGGGGATTTAGGGTAGTTCGAAGTGGGTCTCATTCCTCTCCAAACCTCTCCAGCAACTTCACACAGTTCTGTGACACCGTACACCCATGCTTTCGTGAGGCCAGCGTTCCCCCTGTGCACACATACTGAGTTCATATTGGAGCCCGGAACAAAAGGGATGTTTTGCCTATGTTCCCTACCTTCAGTTTACCCCTGGGGTCATCCTCCAGTGTCCTTGCCCCAGTGCTCCCCATGCTGTTTGCAGATCCTCCAGCAGCCAGGTGGGACTCGGGTTGCTTGAAGAATGTCCAGGGGCTGGTGGCATTCACAGCAGTTTTCAGGGGGCCCTAGCTGAAGTGAAGGATGGCCTCCAGAGGTCAGCAGTCACAGCAGCTCAGGGAATGACACTTCCAGCTGCAGTGTGACTTCCAATGTGGTAACTCTCTGGATTCTTTCTGGTTTTTACAGATAATGGTATCAGGTGATGTGGCCAGCCCTCAGCAAGTCAGTGGTTGTGCCTCTTTTGAGGCCTTGGCCTTCATGGGTTGGGGTCTCCACATCTCTGCCTCTTTCCCCAGTATTCCCCTAGCCTTTTCCTGATATGTGACCCTGTTTTTAGCTCCCCCTGCCAAGGGAGGGCAGCTATAAGTGTGGACAGTGACAGTGATGCCCTGGAGCTCAGCTGGCCTTGGCTCCTTCTTCATTCAGGACTCTTGAGTCAGACTCTGGAAGCTGAATGGTTGCAGTCTGAGGGGAAGCAGGCGGCTGTACTTTGTCCTGACAGATGCAATGGTCCCTGAGTTCTCCATGCACACCAGTAACTCTGGCAAATACTGCACCCCAGAAGGCCCCTCCCTTAGCTTGACTGTCACCACCCACCGTGGACAACAGTAACCAGCACCTTGGCATCTACTTAAATGGGTTTCTGCACCTCCAGCTCCCAAGAACAAAATCTAACAGCTGCTAGAGTGGACAGTCTGTCTAGCCCAGGACTAGCCGGCCACCATCTTATAGCTGGAGCAGAAAATGGCATTGCCGTCCCTGTGTGGATGGACTTTTGTGCTTTGCCACCTAAGTAGGGTTTGCTTCACTTCACCTACCACAAAGTTTCATGGAAACCTCAGGGCAGAAGACAAGAGCTTTAAAGATGGCAAACTTGGTTCTGAAACAGGGAGTGCCTGACCATAGCAGGCGCTCAGTGAGGGCCACCCACACTTGAGGCAAGAGGTCCCCTGGGGTCCAGCCCACATCCTCACTAGCTGTCACTCAAGGCGGATGATTGTTGTAGTGGCCCTGCACTTTTCCCTCAGAGCGCTGGTCCCCCGGCTCCAGCATGGGCTCTTCCTGACACGACTTTGGCTCTTGAAACCCTGCAGCACTGTGATGAACAGCAGGAACATCAGCCTCACACAATAGACTTATGGGCCTTCAGGTGGCTCTTGTCTTACTCTAGATAACGCCAGGGGTGCTCTCCCTCTCATTCCCGCCCCCCCCATGTGTGTTTGCCTGTACACATGTGTCCTAGGCATTTGTACACATGTGTCCTAGGCTCAACTATGAGTGATGTGTGGCCTGAGCCGAGCATCACCAGCCTGTAGGTGGCAGTCACACTTGGCCCTGCAGCTGCTGCGCAAAGGGCAGAGATTTCAGGTCTGCCCAGCCCTCAGCATCTGCAACTCAGCCTGCTCACACAGTACTTGCTGGCAAGTGCAGCCGGGCAGTTTCTGCCACACTCCTGGTCACACCCCTCTTCCTCTATAGGAGCCATAATTTGTGTTCTTAAACACTTTTGTTCTGTTTTTGAAATTACATAAACATCATATGGGGCAAATCTGAATCTGGGATTCCAGCGATTTTCTTGTTTGTCCAGCCCTCCTTCCCTCCCTTACTTTCTCCTTCTATTTGCCTGAATGCTTGCTTTTCCTCTTTTGAGAGTGTTGTCTTATCTTCAAGCTCTCAAGCGCCCTCAAGCTCACTCTATTACTGAGGATGACCTTTGCTGACCTTTCTGCACCCACCCTCTCCATTTCGGAGCTTATACACACTCTACAATGTTGGGAATCAAACCTAGGGCCTTGACAATGCTAGTCAAGAACCTTGCCAACTGAGCGGTCTCCAGCCAGCCTACACTTAAGTTTTCAAGTTTCTGAATTTGGGTTTTGTGAAGGCTGTAATAATGTCTTCAGGCTTTATCCATGTTGGACCA